TTTAACTACAGACTTTGTATTCAAAATTATTATCCTAATTTAATGAATAATAATTATATAAAAGTACCGTTAGCATGGTATCTACTTAAACGTAGAATTATATTGTTACAAAAAAAAAAAAAAAAAAAAACAATTGATAAAATATTCATAAATGTATCTAAGCATTGCAAATTCAAAACTATAAATTATTTATTTATCTAGATAGGAATACAATATAACTTAAATGACAATCATAAACCTAGTATCTTGTTTATCTAGATGAGATAAATATCCTGTGTAATTTCACCTAGATAAATTTACCTAGATACTGCTTAATACTGTTAATAAACTTACTAATTATATCCAATGTGATATTATTTTTTAAGAACAAATTATCGATTTTGCTGCAAAATAAATAATTAAAAAAATCCTCATTTAATAAATATAAGTATGTATTTATATTATTTTCACACTAAGCACATAGTAGTTAGTATATGAATACGGGAATATACTATAACAATTTTAACGAACATACGCAATATTTTTACCTTTCTCTAAACCAATCGTAGACTATTAATATTATAAATATTTATTTATAGTCTGCATCATATTTGTTTTTATTATTTTAGGATACGTCATAAACAAATATAAACCTTTGATAAAATATTTGATATTTCACCACTCAATTGATCTTTTTATACGAAAATTATAAATAAGTAATAATATAATTTGTGTTGTTATAAGCAAAGAATTTTTTTTACTTGCATTCGTTGAATTTTAGAATTTATTGTTCCTATTATTTTCGACAGATTTGTATAATCTAATTATTAATTTCATCAATGCTAATAATTGAGTAAAAGTAAAATGTTCTAGTGTGATTGAGTAAATATATGGTAAATTACAATTAGTCAGGTATATGAAAACTGATAAAATATTTAATCGATAACGATTTCGTATTGTATTAAATTGATTTTTCAATATTAAAATAAATAAAAAAATACATTGTATGATAATATACGATAATATGTCTTCGATTTAAAAATACTATATTTAAGGTTGTTATTAAAATATTAATGTTCAGTTTTTTTATTATATATAGCCTTGTATACTAATATTTTTCTCGTAGCTATTTGATTGATTTGATTCGTGTACTTGGGCAGTTGTTTAAATATATAAAATATTGATTTTGCAAACATTATTTATGTAATATAATTAATATATATATTAAATAATATGATTATCAAAAATGGAACCACGAAATTCTGAATAAAAAACCTCGGTACATGTGCAGGTTAAAAGTTATTTTTTTGGTTGCATAGAATATTATTATTTTTTCTATAACAAAATATTTACATTATTTAACGTTTTAAAATTGTAAATGGAAATATACAACTTAAAAACATAACTATTTTATGTTCTTTCCTGATAGTTAACTTATAAGTACAGCATAATACATCGAAGAGTACTATAATATTATTATGAGTGTGTAAGAAATGTAATATATGTGCTGAAATTAGTATATCCATGATAACTGTATACAACTTTAGGGACTGCAGAGAATGAACATGTCCTTTTAATAATTTATCATTTATTATTTTTTGACAATAACTAATGACTGATAACGATGCAGTAGATTTATTCAAAAACAGATTTATGTTATTCTTTATATTCCTTATTTTTTTTTTTTAGAAAAATACATACGTTTCTAATATTTTTCTTTCTACAGATATTTTTTTTCACACTTATATTTGTTGATGGAATACTTTTTGAAGAACAAATTATAACCATATTGGTATAAAAAAAAATTTAAAATAGTGTTTGGATTAATGTTGTATTATAAATAGTTTCAAGATTTATATAAAATTTGATAAATTATTGTAAAGCGAATTCATTTACACATAAAGTGTATTATTTGACTTTGAAAAAGTCAGTTCAAACAGCTTAAAAACCAATCGTATGATACGCATCGTGTTGTTATAGATTATAATTTTAGATGGTTATAAACTTCAAGTTTTAAAAACAAAATTAATGAGTCAATAATATAACTAATGACAACAGTAGTTACCCAAGAACTGTAGAATGGTTGACAATTATTCTTGTGGTGGTAGGGAGTTCACGTAGTTCAAACATTTTGCAACTGATTGAGACTTTAATTTAACTTTGCCCGACTTTATCAAGTTCTAATTATGCTAAAAGCAGTGGATTATCTGAAAAGACCGTTTGAACTTTGAAAATCAATGATTGAGAAGACTATATATGAAAAAAAATAAACCAATATTTACGATTGTATGTTGTTGCCTAACTTCGAAAACAGCAAGTAAGTTCAATAGCTCATCATAATTTCGATAACTATAATTCATTTCAGAGAATAGTTGGATAAATAATGTTAATAATAATAATTATAATAATGAAATCGAAAATATAATAATACTTGATGCAAATTAGTAAAATTAACCCTATAAATTTAAAACTTCAAAAACTAGATGGACATACAAGAACGTTATCAAAAGTAATAAGTACATTAGGAAGATATATAATTTCAGAATAGTATTTAATGAAAAATGAAGAATAATATAATACAATTAAACTAAATAAATTAATTGCCTTTCTAAAATTGATTTAAAACAGGTGCGATTATTTTGATATTTTCGAGTATAGTGATAAAATACTAAACGTGTGAATTCGGAAATGATTAATATATTAAAACTTTGGTCATAAATTAATCATGACTCAATATTATGGTTAAACAAGAATTTATTTAAGTATAAAATAAAATAAATAATTGTTTTAACGTATCACCAATAAAAAGGTCTACATCAACTTTTTACCTTTTAAATACAAACATTTATTTATAAAATACAATTCCTTTATCAAAAAAAAAATTTGACACGAGATTAAGAATGTAGAACTTTACCACGTTCCATAGGTAATATAAAAATAAACAGTGAAAACTGAATAACTCTAATTTTAATAGGAATACAAATAAATTTAACTAACACTATTTCGAGTTAAATAAATATATCAAATATAACTTATAAACACTTCAATGGCTAAAAATAAAGTGAATGTTTTCGAGTTATTTCAACACGACTATATAACATATATATTATAGTATTGTCCTACGCGTACTATGATAACAACTGATAATAGATAAATATAATATTATAATGGTGGTGTATAAAATATTTTTAAATTTCAACAACCGGTAGCCTATTTCAACATTGTGCGTTAATAAAAATATGGTTCCGTGGATGTTTCTGACGTGCTATGGTTATAATTATTTATATATTATCAACAAATATTTTTTTTTTTGTCGCTCGTTGGCTTAAAACGGTTAATAATAATAATTATTATGACACGTAATTATAAAAACGTGTTTCTCCTAATTATTAGGGACCTGGAGGTGCAGCAATGACGTCGACTTACGTGCACAGAATATAAGATTGAATTGTGTTACGAGTTCAATGTGTTCATTGGTGATATAAATATAATATTCATGAAAATTTTAATTTATTCGATTAGGCTAACAAGGTTTTCACTGTAATTCGCGCTACTAGTATGTACACTTAATAATATTTTGTAGGAGGGAACGTACATTAACAACGTGTGACAGCTAAGCATGTACGAAAAAAAATGTCAAATAAAAATATATTTTCTTCTATACAATGACAGGAAAAGGAAAGGGAGAAGTTAAGTCAATATTATACAAATTTTAACATTACATTTTGTAATTCATACTACTAATATGTTATATAGATTAAATTAAATGTTTTATTAAATAAGAAAAATACCTAGATGGGTTTTAACCATTCACGGCAAATTTTATAAATACGTTTATTATTTAGTTTCACCTTAACTACAAAAGTAAACTTGACATTTTTCTGATATGCAAGTTTTCATGACTCTTCTATAAATTTTACTGAAGTTAATCATCGTAAAAAGCAGTGATAACACCTTTTGAAAAACAACAAATGGAATTAGACGTTACCCCGTAATTTTCGACTAAAAAATATTAATGTCTTTTGAACAAAAATATTATTTTTTGACGATAGAAAACAAGATATATTAGAACACAAACAATAATACCTCATAAATCAACCTATACATGATATTATTAATATCTGAACAATACTTTATCAGTGGATTTTATTGTAGAGTTAATAGACGTGAAATTTAAATAAATAAATGCAACAATGTAATGAGAATAGCTTAAATAGAAAAATACAGAAAATAATATTCACAAAATTCTACACTGTAACTGTGCATGTGATGATTAAGTTTTTTTATACTTATATATGTAATTTATAAAGAGAACGAGTTATGAGCTCTGTGAAAAATATTTTTACGTCAAACTAGTTTTATAGTAATTTTTGTGGTTTTGGTTAAGTGAAATATTTATATTATTCTATCTAAAATAGTACTAATATTACTATGCGCCAATAACCATGTATAAATAAAACAATACAATATTATTATAATTATAATATCATGCACTATTGTAAAAAGTAAAGTGATGGTTACGAGGGGAAAGATGTCTTCAGGGATTTGGTTTTTTTATTAATATATAATATATTTTTAATATGTCTACATTTTTTTCTTTTTTTTTTTTATGAGCAGAGTACTGAGTTCTTGTTTTCCCCTGATACCTTGTGAATACTATATTAATATTTTAAGCCTTCCATCTTCTGGCTATTAAAAACACGACCAAATAGGTAAATATAGACTACACAGTACACACATATTGTCATCCGTTGTTGTTGTCATACAACCTTCACCGGAATTCAGAGGAAAGTCGTGTACTGTTTCAAAACAATATTCATATTTTTATTATTGATTTTAAACACAAATATCAATAGGAGAGTCGATTTTTTTGTTCGTAAAATCGTTGTCGTACGCCCGTGGTGTGGTTAATCAAAAGTGTCGGACGAACGTTAGTAATTCGTCGGATATTTTACATGATTCCGCACAACCGTCGTCCTAACTATGTGTATGAATATCGATTCAAAATTATAATTAATTACCTCCACTTGCGATGCACGTGATATCGACCGTCACACCTTCCTTGTACGGCCCAAGTATATAATGTGGTATGTGATCACCTTTTTCGTTCAGCACGCTCAGCCGGTCCGGGGGTACTGTAAACACAAATTTGTGACACACAAATCGTTAATAACATATTGTAATTAATTAGTATTTATTCCTTGTAAAATTAACCCAAACCCAGTGTTTATAAGCATTAATTGACATTCATTAAATGTCTGTCGATTCTGTTCTAAGTAAAAATATGAGGTAATATAAAACTCGGTGTTTAATCTAATATAACATATAATCATGAAAATAAATATAAGCGTATAAGTATTAATCTACGATTTGATTGTAATTTTCACGTACATTATAGCAGCCTAATATTCGATAACACGGACAACTTGGGATTCACGATTAAATGCGATTGTGGCGTTCAATGTTTGGTAAGAATAAACTTTTTGAACCATTTGTTATTTTGAAATTAAATTTAATAGAGTGAAATAAAAAACTTTTTTTAATACTGGGTCTAATCCTACGTAAGTTAAAAACTCATTTTTATCATGATCATAAAAAAAAAATAAATATATTTGAAATAAGTATTTTGTTTTTATTTGAGAAATACCTTATATTTCATCCAGCCAGTAGAATTATAATCAATTAATTCCTTTTTAGTATATTTTATTATAAATCTTAAATTATTAATTTCGGTTTAATGACACCTTTTTAATTAAATTATAATATCTCATATAATATTAAATTCACATATATGTACCATGCCAATTTTTAGTTTCAAATTATTGTTTATTTCATTTTTTTTTTTTTTTTTGTATTATTAGTTTAACGAACTAAGCTATTTTTTGCGTATGTATAAACAAAATTTTAATTTATTACATTCACAATAGTAAGCTTGATTTTTTTTGTTAAATCAATATTAGAAAAATGTAAATATTTATAAGCTTAAAACTATTTGAGCACTTATAAACAGAAAAAAATAAGCCTTTTTGTTGCAATACAGCTCGTTTGTCAAATAATTGGTTTAGCGCTGAGGTATGTGCTTGGTAATAGCACCTTCGCTAGACAAGTCCAAAAGATTATGGTCGTAATACTACGTAGCTTTCAAGGCATCTCTTCGGTTAAAATGACTTATTGATAAAAATGTTCGTGATCACACACAAATAAATGCAATTAATGAACGGTAACTTTTGACTACTATGTAAACATGATATATACGTATATAATGTACGTAAGAGCGATTAAAACATAATATACTATGTTTTATCACTGTCAACAACACGACAATATACAACGCATACTTTATTAAATATCTAATTAGAATAGAGTACGGTACCAACATCAAAACATACAGTACATAATAATATATAGACCTAAATTATGCATATTGTGAATAATGCTTTATTTAGTATTTCGGGAGCGTATGAGACGAGCATGTTTCCGAGAAATCTCATAACGTCCGTGTTTAAACATTAATGACAATCTATACTAGATTTAAACGAACAGCGTATACGTGCACGGCGTGATATACATTTTTGTGTCGAATTCTCGTCGGAAAATATAAATTTTATTCTCTTTTTTAAAAGACGGATCGTACGTGTGGTGGCATCTTGCGTGCGTGGTCAACAGTGATGTGTATATAATATATGACCGACCGACCGATAACAGTAGTTTACAAAGTTACACTCGAGAATAAATCTAACGGAAAAAAAAAAAAACCAACAACAGCAACAACAACAAAAACACTACGTCACCCATAAATGTTTTATCGCCTGGCAGTTTTTCATATTCCAAAAGCGTTCGAGTGTACATGTATATAATGTGGTGTAGTGTACTGGTTTACAGCCGGAGATGCGTCGGGAAAATGTTCTTTTGATTCGACTTTCAAACAACCGACGTTATAAATATTGTTTATCCGAACGAGGCCGGCGGTGCAGTGGCGAGCGCACATACCACCGCTGCCGGCGAGGATATTTCGGCTCGTTTTCGGGGCGCCACCGTTTTTTTTTTTTTTATTATTATTGTTTTGTATTTTTTTGTATTTTGTATTTTTTTTTTTATTTATTTTTTTTTACGAGCGGTGCGGCGTTAGCGCGAAAAGAGGAAGTCGAAAACGATCGACGCCACAGCTGCCCTCGATTGGCGAGTACGTGTGTGTGCGTATGGGGTGTAGGAATGAGTTATACATGTAGTATGGGCTCCAACGGGATGAATTACCTTTAAACTCATATATTAACGCGTAACTGTGTAAGTATCGTACAGTGAGTCATGCTATATTATTCTACCTAAAATTAATGATGATAAATATATTATATAATATGTAATATAATACGTCTATAAATTCATAAACTTTATAATAAAAAGGAATTATCACTTTAAAATAGTTGGACAGCATTAGTTGTATGCTGCATAAACGTCATGTTATGTTTATTTAATCAACAGAATTCTACAGAAATTATGTGTTTTTTAGAATAAAATACAGTTAAAAGTAATCTAGTGATTTTATATCGCTGGTGTATCAGAATCGAGGTTTTCCTTACTACATTTTAATTTTGATTTACTCGTTCAGAGATATTTTTCGGTTTCGCAGAGCTTTTCGTACACAGATGAGTGTATTACACATTTTTTAATAGGATTTTGGAAAGACGCCCGTCAAACTAACTATTGTTGCACGATTAGTGGTAACGTCGATAGCGTTTAAGATTTCGAGAATAGAGAGTGGGAAAAAATACCTGTCTGAAAACGAACGAGAGAAAAGAAAGATTGACGGTATACATGAGTGATGTGAACATAGTAAAGACAAAATAAAACACGCACCTTGTAAACCTACTTGGACACAAACACACACACGCTGTCTGGCGGATGATAAATGCGAATCTGGTCGATGCAACGGCGGTCTCACTGAATACCTTAGGGCTCGCGCAATATCATACCTGTTCAGCCAAAATTTGGTATATCCAAGCTTATAGATATACATAATATATTTCTTCTAATTTTGTTGGGTTTTCGCAGCCACACTTTTCGAGTCCATAAATTTTAGACTCAGGCGCGCGCAAACGATCGAAAGCAGGGGAAAAACAATTATCTCTACCGATAGAGGTAAATGGAAAATCTACGGCTTAGCCCGAAACGAGTTTTCACTCGGTAACGGTATTTTATTTTAAACCTTTTTCACCGGGTCGTAAAATACCGATGAGGTTTTACACACGGGTTTGAAAACCGAGTAAGATAAAGAAAGAGAAAGAGAAACGGGGCAAAAAGAAAAAAAAAACAATGTGTACGTTACATTGGAGGAGGAGCGTACGGCTTCGACCGAATATATGCCTTACCCGGCCATAAGGTCAAATCCATCGAAAACGACTCTAGCCAAAAATTCTCAATTTGAAACTCTTGGTAAACAAAAAATAGAAATCGGCTTTCCTGTATAGTATGTTTAAATGTATCTAATCATTGATTAGTTTATTAGCTTACTGTGAAATAAAATTTTGTGATAAATCACACGCCATAACTTGACCAAATAATAAAACGGTTCTAAGCTAAGGAGACGATTGAACGTTTCTAAGGTTATTGATGCATCATTCTATTTAATAAATTAATTTAAGTATCTCGTTTATTTTCATTTTTTTTTTTTTTTTTTAAATTTGATAGTTTGAAATAAATGTTTACTGAAATATCGTTAATAATTTATCGTTATAAAATACCGTAAAATAATGTAAAATTGTCTGATGCACTAATAGTTTAACATTAGTTTAACTGTTTTAAAAATTTTATAGTGAAAATTATTATATTGGTCTAACTTATTGAAGAAAAGTTTCACGTTTTTATAGTCTATACTCTATAGCTTTTAAATATCAACAAATATCTAAAATCGTTAAAAAAAAAAAAAAAAAAATGTTCATAATTGTTTTGTATAAACATTCAACATAATTAAAACTTTAATATCAACCACTTATGAAAAAAAAAAAATAATAAAAATAAAACAATCTACCTTGTATAATTAAAAGAGTTTAGATTCAATACGATTGTTTCGTAAAGAAAATTGACACATACTTCTAAATTATCCTTATCCAAGATCTAACGGATGAATTTAATTTCTAGGTACATGACCGATAAAACGCGTAATTTTATTCTTAATCGACCGATATAATTTTATAATAAGATTTATTAATTTAATTATTAATATTGTTATTATTTTAACATTATGTAGAATATTACTTTTTTGTTTAATCTTTATTACCGTTCTTAATTATTATTTTATTTAATGAACTATAGACTTATCATGTTCAGGTAAAGTAAAGAGAGATTTGTTTTAAAATATTACTATTATAATTTAAATATTTTAATGTTGTAAAATAAATTCTGTAAAAATATAATTATTATAAGATACTTAACGATCCGATATTTAATAAACGACAATAATATGTAACATGTGTTTATAAAGTTATATGTACAGAGTCAAAGTTAGAGTTGTGTAAATTACAATATTATAGATAAAGGTAATATTAGAGGAGTGCTAAGAATGGTCAGTAATTTAAAAATAAATTACCAGTTACAATTCATATTTATTAATTACTTTATTAATAAAGTGTTTCAATTTAATTTAATATATTATACATATGTATTTTAAACAAAATTTAAAAAAATGCATAATTAAAAACATAATTTATAAAAAATGAATAGTAGATTTCTATTGGAGTTATAAAATGTATCTGTATAATTAACTTAAGTTATTAATTAAATTTGAATGATATTTAATCAACTGTAATATTACAATGAATTTGAAAATAAACACCATATATACATAACCATAATATAGGTAGGAATTTAATTATTTAAAAAATCTTTTATTTATTTATTAAGTAGGTAAAATGCTAACAACAGTTTTAATGAACTTTTGAAGTTAATTTTTTTTTTCTGGTAAGGGTATTTTACAAAAAAACTTTATTTATTTATACGATTAATCATTTTAGTAATGTTTTTTGTGGGTACCTATACAGTTGTCCACAAACTTTATTATTTATAAAGCTTTTATTTATATAAAAATACACAATAATAATGTTAAACGCTATTTTTATATAATAATTGATGATATGCCATG